CATGCTAGGATATTGATTGTGAATCTATGGATTAATTTGGTGAAAATCTACATCATAATATTTATCCTTTTGGCTTATGAACATGAGACATAAATCCATTTATTTATAGTTTCTTTAATTTCTCTAATATTTTCTAGTTTTAATCTTATACATTGTCAGATTTATCTCTAAGTATTTAATAATTTTAGTGCTATAATAAGTGACATCATTTTAAATTTCAATTTGTGAATATTTGTTGGTAGTATATTAAAATACAATTAATTTTGTGACTTGATCTTGTTCCTGCAACCCCAATAAACTTACTTACCAGTTCTAGTACAAAGCTGAATAGAAGTAGTAAGAGAGTGATTTGTTTCTGATCACAGGGGAAAAGCACTATCTTTCATCAGTATGTACACTGTTAGCAGCAGGATTTTTGCAGATGTCCTCAATCAAATTGCATAAATTATTTATGTTCCTGGTTTGCTGAGAGTTTGGGTGAAATGGAGGTTGGATTTTGTCAATTGCATTTTTATGTATCTACCGGGATGATCATATATTTTTTTCTTTTATGCCTTTCTAATATGGTGAATTACATTAGTTAGTTTTCAATGTAAAAACAATCTTTTATTCTGGGATAATTTCCATTTGGTCATTATATGTCCCACTGTATTGTTGGATTTCATTTGCTAAAATTTTATTGACCCTTTTGCATCTATTTTTTTTGGAAAGTATTATGCAGTTGTTTCTTGTTCTTATAAAGTTTTTCTAAATTTGGCATTATGATAATATTGTCCTCATCAAATAAAATGTAGAATATTCAATCTTCTTCAGTTTTCTAGGGAAAATTACATATAATTGGTATTATTTCCTCTTTAAAAGTTTAGTATAATTTCTTGATGTTTACTTTGTGTTAATACTTTTGAATACAAATTAAATTCCTTAATAGCTATAAGACATTTGGGGTTATTTTTCTTGACTGAGCAAATAATTTTTCTATTTCCTGTAAGTAGTCAAATATATTAGCATAAAATTGTTTATAATATGCCGAAATTATACTTTGAATAGCTATAGAATCTTCTGTGATGTCATCTCTTTTATTTCTAATTTGTAATTTGTGTTTTCTATCTTTTCTCCTGGTCGATCTGGTAAGAGATTGGTTTTCACAAAGAACTAGCATTGATTATAGTATTTTGTTCTGTCTTGTATTTGCTTCAGGCACCTCACTCAGCCCATGTTAATCCATCATAGCCAGAGGCAGAGGGCCCAATATCTGTGTTTTCATAATTGATTTAAATTCCTCCTTGATAAAGTCAGGAAATAAATTATCACACATTCAACACATTCACACACACACACACACACACACACACACACACACACACACACACATCCATGTAAACAAACAAAACCGTGGAATGTCCATTTTCTCTGCCCAGCTTAAGCCTCTAATGCTAACTTCTATTAACCCTGGGTCTCTGTATGTAACTTGACCTCTCCATTTCAACCTAATAGCACATTCAGTCACCTCACTTTTCATTTGCCCTTAACATGTATTAATAGGTGTCCTTCCCTCCAGGCTATTGATTAAGCTATCAATATTTGTCATACCCCTCATGTCTTTGTCATTTCCCAAAGTCAAGGTCTCCTCAACCTGCCCTATACCGCTTGCCTCATAGTCTAGTCCAAATAAATCTATCTTGACAGTAAGAATTTTCGTAATATTAACAAAATACTGTAATATTAGGAAATTCTTTCATTCTAAGGAGAGTGCATATAATAACCTGGGGGTTAGAGGTGTGCAGAAAATGGGGGTATGAGAAGATAACCTTAGAGGTAAAAATGCAGAAATGGTATATTTCAACTGTCAATATCATTTACGTTTTTTATTGTCTGCAGATTCTACTACTAATATAATTTTCATTTTGGTGTAATTTACTTTTAATTGACAAATGATAGTTGTGCACATTTATGCTAACATAATTTTTAAATGTCATGCCTCTTGGAAAAGTTCTGTGATGTTATTAAAATCAAAAGAAGAACATGATTATGCTCATGATTCATATTCTCTGCAGGAATATTGACTTTGAAATATGAGTTTTTACAAAATTGTTAACATATTGCTTGATTCTCAATTAGTACATTCACATTTTATTTGTAAGATTTTTTTAAATATATATTTTTTAAAATATATATTTTTTAAAATATCATACCTCAAATACATTACATAAAATCATAAATGGGATTGAATAACTTTCTGACTGAATGTTATAGCTTAAAACTCATTCTGAAGTGTTTATTTTGTTAAAGCTATAAGACTACATCTTACCTTTTTAATTGAAAATAAGTAAAATTGCAATGAGACAATAATTACTAAAAAAGTCTCACAGGGGAAACATTTCTAAGGGGGAAAAAAAAACACCACTTTGAGTGATGCAACTGTCACCATCCTTCCTTCATTGTTGCCCCAGTATCATCATAAATATTAAGAACACTAATCTTCCTCCCCATTTTCCATTTTTCTACTCCTTTCTGCCGGCATGCCCTCCCTGCACTACTTTACTTTTAATGAGTGCCTAGGGAGGTATATTCTTCAGTAGTGATAACACCTGAATTGAGTCCATATCACAAGAAAATCTTCTCACTCTGAATTGCAAATATATATATATATTTAAAAATATATGTATTATATATAGAATATATATATATAATATTCTAATCCCTTCAGAATGATTAATGGAGGTACACCTTCTAAAGGGCTATTCTGAGTATGCCTTTCAGCCAAGGTTTTGACTAAACTCCACAATCTAAATGTGTAAAAGAGTAACACATAAAAATATGAAGTCAAATCAAAAAGCAAAAACTAAGTAAGAAATATCTAAAGTAAACAGTGATACACAATTTTATTTCTAATGTTTTTCATATATGGGTTGATCTAGTTTAATTTAAGACAAGTGAAATGGCAATTATATGATCTTAATTTAAAAGTATCTTTCTTTAGAGGAACTTAAATGAGTTGTTACACGTAATTCCATTAAGACTGTAGCTATGTAATCTTGTCTTTAAGTAAAGAACAATTTTATATTTCCAAACGTGTATGACAAAACATACAAATTATGAGATATTCAAAGACAGGCGCTATGAGCAATATTGATACATTTGCAGTCCTATATAACCTTGCTAAAATAGAAAAATTGACCCATGGGAAAATAAATAAGTTAAATCTATTTCAGACTCTGACCCCAAAGAAAGTCCCTTGACCAACCTAGATAAGCATTTCCTTCTCTGTAATACGAGAAGAGTGCATCAAGACTAATTTTACCAGCAACAAATCCAAATTGACAATAATTAAATGATTTTCAATCTGGGTCAAAATGGAAAACAATACAGGCCAGAACTAGGATAACCACCTTTTATAACCTAAGTCCAGAAGCTGCAAAGCAATGTTAGTAATAATAAGCACATATGCATATGTATATACCCGCACACATGCACACTTGCATATAGTAGGTCACACCATGCATGTTTAATGCCCTGTAGTTGTCAAAGGTAGCATGTGATATGGCTACCCTCTGCTCACTGCTTTTACTTTTTGAATTTTGTTTGTATTAGCCCATTCTTGTATTGCTATAAAGAAATTCCTGAGACTGGGTAATTTTTTTTTTTTAAGTTTAATTGGTTCATGATTCTTCTGGTTTTACAGGATGCATAGTGATGATATCTGCTGAGCTTCTGGGGAATCCTCAGGAAGTTTACAATCATGGCAGAAGGTGAAGGTGGAGCAAGTATGTCATGTGGTGAAAGCAGGAGTAAGAAAGAGAGTTGGAGGGGGAGGTGCCACACAGTTTAAATGACCAGATCTCAGGAGAATTCACTCATTTTTCCAAAAACAGCACCAAGCCATAAGGGTCCATTACCATGGTCCAGATACCTCCTACCAGGCCCTATATCCAGCACTAGGGATTGCTATTCAACATGAGATTTGGGCAGCAACAAATATCCAAACTTTATCATTCCATCCCTGGCTCCTCCCAAATTTCATGTCCCTGCAAAATACAATCATACCTTCCCAACAGTCCCCCAAAGTCTTAACTAATCCCAGCATTAACTCAAAAGTTCAAAGTCGCAACAGGGCAGTCATTGAATCTGAAAGCTCCAAAATAATCTCTTTTGACTCCATGTCTCACATCCAGGGTACACTGGTGCAAGGGATGGGCTCCCAAGACCTTGAACAGCTCCCGTCCCTGTGGCTTTGCAGGGTTTTGCCCCCATGGGTGCTCTCACAGGTTGAAATTGAGTGCCTGTGGCTTTTCCACGCTGTGGGTGCAAGATGCTGGATCTACCACTGTGGCATCTGCAGAATGGTGGCTCCCTTTTCACAACTCCATTAGGCAGTGCCCTCATGGGGACTCTTTGTGTGGGCTCCAGTGCCACATTTCCCCCTATACTGCCCTAACAGAGGGCTCTGTCCCTGCTGCAGGCTTCTCATACAGCCTTGAAATCTAGGCAGAGGCTGCCAAGCATTCTTCACTCTTGCATTCTGTGTGCCTGCAGGCTTAACACCACACGGAAGCCACCAAGGCTTATGACTTGCACTCTCTGGAGCTGGAGCAGCCACTAGGGCTGTAGCTAAGCCCCCTTTGAGCCTTGGCTGAAGCCAGAATGACCAAAATGCAGGGAGCAGTGTCCCAAGGCTGCTTGGGGTAGTAAGGTCCTGGGCCTGACCCATAAAACCATTCAATCCTCTTAGGCGTCAGGGCCTGTGATGGAAGGGGATGCCACAATGATTTCTGAAATGCCTTCAAAATATTTTCCCACTGTCTCGACTATTAACACTTAACTCCTTTTCAGGTACATGAATATCTCTAGCAAGTGGTTGCTCAGCAGCCTGCTTGGAATCCTCCCCAACAAAAAGCTTTTTCTTTCTCTGCCACATGGTTAGACATTACATTTTCCAAACTCTTATGCTCTGCTTCCTATTTATATCTAAATTCAATCTTTAAGTCATTTATTTGCCTTACCTGAGCATAGGTTGTAAGAAGCTGCTGGCCACCTCTTGAATGCTTTGCTGCTTAGTAATTTCTTCTGTCAGATATCCTAAATCATCACTTTGAAGTTCAAACTTCCACAGATCCCTAAGGCATCAACAGAATGCAAACAAGTTATTTGCTAAGGCATAACACGTGTGACCTTTGCTTCAGTTTCCAAAAAGCTCCTCATTTCCATCCAAGACCTCAGCAGCCTGGACTTCACTGTTAATATCACTATCAGCACTTTGGTCACAACTATTGAACCAGCCTCTAAGAAGTTCCAAACTTTCCCTCATCTTCCTATCTTCTTCTGGGCCCTCTAAACTCTTCCATCCTCTGCTCATTATCCAGTTCCAAAGCTGCTCTCATATTTTCAGCTAACTTTACAATACCCCACTCTTGGTATCCATTTTTCATATTATTTTGTTCTTACATTGCCATAAAGAAATATCTGAGACTGGATAATTTGTAAAGAAAAGAGGTTTGATTGGCTCATGGTTCTGCAGGTTTTACAGGATGCATGGTGTTGGCATCTGCTCAGCTTCTGGAGAGGCCTCAAGAAGCTTACAATCATGGCAGAAGGTGAAGGGGGAGCAAAAGCATCACATGGCGAAAGCAGGAGCAAGTTGAAGGGAGAAGTGTCACATGCTTTTAAATGACCAGATCTCATGAGAACTTATTCATTATCACAAAGACACCACTCAGCCATGAGGGATCCACCCCCATGATCCAAACACCGTCCACTAGGCCCTATCTCCAGCATTGAGAGTTATAATGCAACATGAGATTTGGGCAGGGACAAACATGCAAACTATATCAGTTTTAAATTACATACAGTAAATTCACTTTTTTGGTGTAGAGGTCTGTGAGTTTTGATGAATGCAAGTAACGTAATAACCACCATAGTCAAGATATAGGATAGTTCTGCCAGCTGAAGAAAATTGTTCCATGCTGCCTCATAGTCACATACCCCAAATCCTTGAAACCCACTGATATGTCCTGTGTTTGTAGTTTTACCTTTTTCCAAAATGTTATGTGTGTGTGTGTGTCTGTGTCTATGTGTGCAAAGAGAGAAATGTTATAAACACACACAGAGACACACAGATAGAGAATATCCCACAACATGTAGCCTCTTATGTCTGACTCATTTCACTTGACATAATTCATTTGAGATCCATCATGTTATTGATATGTATCAATTCTTTTTATTTCTGAGTAGTATCTTATTGTATGGATGTACCATGCTTAGTTTATCCATTTACATAGTGAAGAACATCAGGTTGTTTCCAGTTTGGGGCAATTATGAGTAAAGCTGCTATAAACATTCAAGGTTTTCTTGCACACAGAAGCTTTCATTTCTGTTTGGCAACACCCAAGAGTAGATTTCGAGATGATGTGGTACAAATATATGTAACTTCTGCCTGTTTTCCAAGGTAGATGTATCATTTTGCATTCCCACTAGCCATGAATGAAAGTTTCAGTTGTTCCACAACTTCACCAGGTATTGCTATTGTCAGTTTTTTATTGTTTGGTCTTATTTTGTTTTAACTATTTTAATTTGTTGTGTACTGGTATCTCATTGTGATTTTAATTTTTATTCTCCTAATGACTATGTTGTACACTTTTTGATATGTTTATTTATCATTCTTATGTCTTCTCTGGTGACATAAGAATGTCTATTCAAAAATGACATAAAAAAGTCTATTCAAAATGTTGCCCATGTTTTAATTGGATGCTTTGTTTTCTTATTTTTTTTTTTTGAGCTTCATGTGTTTTTATATATCCTATGTCCACTTCTGAAGGTAATTATAAGAGATGTGAAGTCTCTATTCATCATAGTATCCATAAACTCTTACACATGGGTTAGGTGGCTTGTAACAAGCCTTTTGTGGCAAAAAAAAAAAAAAAAAAAAAAAAAATTCTTTGATCTAATTATGCTCTTTTTCTGTTGGTATATCTTTATAGACGTTTACCAATGTCTATTGAAAATGTACATTCCTATTGACATAGCAATGACCTTTCTTAAATAGTTAGAGCTATATATAAAAAACTAAGTACAGGAATATGCCTTCAAACATTGACACAAATGCCAGAAATTGGGGAACCACTTAAAATTTCAAATACAGGGGATTGAGTAAATTAATTATGGTGCAATCATATCAAGGAATACAGTGAAGGTATTGAACCTGGTGTATAAGAACTGGATTTATTGACTTAGGATAATGTTACTGATTGGTTTTCTCAAACTGTTATTTGATCATAGGTATTAACAAAATTAAATGCATAGGTTGATGTATTTTTAAATAAAAATAATATGTAAATCTATTCATTCAATAAATATTTACTAAGTATTGATAGTTTGCCAGGAATTGTGCTATGCACTGGGAGTACAAAGATAAGCAATTACATAAATTATTAAATCTTATAAATACATAATAAAGTCAAAATTTGAAGGATACAAAGAAAATAATGAACTGGCAAAATATGGCTCTAAAATGTCAGTAAATAAATTTATGTTTTTCCTTAGAGGCATCTAGATAGAGAGATAAATAATGGCCAAATTATAGTATAGTGTTTAAATATGTGCACTGGGAGCAGCTGCTTCAGGAGCCACTCAGAAATACAGTTTCAAGTCCTAGTTATGTTGGTTTCTACCTATGCAAATTGGGGCAGATCATTTAACTTCATATATCACAAATACTATGTGAATTAAAAATATATTCCAAGTAAGGCAACATAATGTCTTTACATGGTAAGTACAAAATAAATGTTAGCTATTATTATCATTACCCTTATACAAGCAAATTTTTTAAATGGTAATTTCCATCCAAGTATTCTAATAGTAAACAAGTTAATAAAAAAGGAACTAAGTAGCAGTATAATTGATCATATGTGCATCTATAAGGACTCTGACTTCTAAGCATTTATCTGATTTTTTAAAAATATGTATTTTTATATATTATTATTAGGTAAAATGAATATTGTGTAAGGATAGTGAGGGTGTGAAGAACACTGAGACATTTCTTCATTGATATCTACCTTTTTATGAGTAGATTCATACCAAATTTAACTACTAAAGATATATACTTCAATATTGAAGCAGTAATATTGGTACCCCTGAAGTAAAATACTTGGCTTGCAAATAATAGGAAAGTTGAAAAGTACTTTGAAATTTTATGGTGGCTAATAGCTATAATTAAGGGGTCAGTAATGACCACAATTGTGTGTAAATAATATACGGAAATGAGTGACTCATTCTAATTCTTAATGATACTGAAAAGAAAAGGTTATATAGTGGCAAATTTGTTAGCATTTCCATTACATTTCAAATCTGTCCATGAAAGATAAGTGCAGCTGCTGCATAGAGAATTAAAAGATAAAAAAGTCTTGGGCTCTATGAAACTTAAGATAAAGATGTTATCCCTGAGGTCTCCCCTCAGTGCATATGTGTTTTGCATTTGAAATTAGCATTGGTAGTTGATTTTACATAAATGAGCTATATTGTAGTGTTGAGTAAGGGAATCCTTTTAACAGCATAGGAAGACAGAAAATAATAAAGAAGACAAAGGGGGATAATCACAAGGATTTGTAGAACATGCTTTCATTGCCTGCTGGTCACCTGAGTGATTTTGCACTGCTTTTTGTGTTGCTGTGTTGCTAAATTCATTTGAGTCTAAGAATATAAATATCCACAAGATAAAAAGTTCTCCAAATATCTTGCTAAAATTATTAGATTATGTGATATACAACAACTGTGAAAAGATTTGTACTATTTCCCTTTTCCAAATCCCTTTAAATTTATTTTTACTTTAGGGAAAAAAAAAAAAGAGTCATTAATGTCACATCAGAGAAACTGTTTCAAAATTCTATCCCCTGTGGTCCTTCAATCCCACTCTTTATAATTCAGGAAGAAACAAGGTTATCTGTTTCTGATAGCAACAGGAAGCAGCCAAATGGTAGGCAGATAGGGGCAGATCCCCGTTGAAACCCACCTTCAAGCCAAAAACAGCCTGAAGGCTGAAAGACTGAACTGCTGGTACTATGAAATCCACAACCGAGAGTGAGAACTTCTCTTCCTCTTTGCCCCACTGCTTCCTGATTGATTCTTTCTGAATAATGTCTTTTAATCAATGAATGTTGCTTTTTCCAGTACTACCTACAGCCTTCCCCTCCCCGATTCTAAGCCCATAAAAAGCCCCAGACTCAGCTATATTGAGAGGACTTTTCTGCCTTCAGCTAGGGGGACCCCGCCCCCTGTATCCCCTTTCCACTGAAAGCTGTTTTATCACTCAATAAAACTCCCTGCCTTGCTTACTCTTCAATGTCAGCACATGCTCATTCTTCTTGGTTATGGTTCGGGAACTGGGGAACCATTGCATAAGCCAGACTCGGGTAGGGCAGACTGAGTGGGCAGACCATCTCCTGCAGCAGGCAGCTATGGTCAAGCAAAGTCCAGATGAGGCATCACCAGCTGGAGATCCCCAGTTTGCAAAGTGACCAAGGAAAAAATCCTGCGTCACGTCATTCCAGCAAGTCAACAGCTCTCCTAGTTGAGCTAATAGATTATAAAGTCAGTCTTAAGTAAATTAGACAAAGAAAACAGTTGTATGTCTTGATTCTGAGATGCTTTTTAAAATAAATTTCATTGTGTATATTTGAGATTTACAACATGATGTATGGAGTACATATAGATAAATGGTTACTATAGTGAAGCAGATCAACATATTCATCATTTTACATAGTTACTTTTTTTGAGACAAGATCAGCTAAAATCTACTTATTTAACAAAAATATCTAATATAATAGAATTGCATGTCATGTTACACATTAGATCTCTAACTGATTTATCCTACATATTCCACATTGTATTCTTTGATATACGTCTCCCCATTGTCTCTCCTTTTACCACTTACCTGCAGGAACCACTGTTTGATTCTCTATGTCTGTGTATTTTTTATATATATATAATATATACATATTTTATATATATAAAATATACATATATCTCTTATAGTCCTCATATAACTGAGATCATGCAATGTTTTTCTTTCTGTGTCTGGGTTATTTTACTTAGCAGAATGTCTTCCAGGTCCATCCATGTTGTGGCAAGGATCTCCTTCTTATTTAAGGCTAAATAATATTCTTAATAATTAAACCTGAATATGTGTTGTCCCTAAAGACTTTCTACTTTTAAATCTCTTTGAGTTTAGCTTCTTCAAATACAGTAGGTTTCCAAGAGTGTTGATGCTATGAATTGCAAACTTTTAAAAGATAGGGGCTGTTTATCTTTTTATATCCTCTTGATCTAATACAATGCCATCTACATAGTCAGTGCCCAAAAAATATATAAGGAAAGGAAAGAGAAAGAAGAGGAAGAATTTCTACTGTGAAATAATGACAGGGTAGCTAGAGCATCCCACTGAACTTTGCAGTTTCTGCTTAAGGAATTTTAAAA